GCAGACTAAATAGCGTTTTATTTGCTTTGTGTGTTGTATGAGAGCCATGATTAGGATTGTATTAACATCTCTTGGGTACATTCAAAGACCGCCTCATGGTGGTGCTAATCCTTTAGCAGCTGCAGTTAGAAACTCTTTCTCTGATTAGGTTATTTATTTCAGTGTATCTTATTTCAATTTATATTATGCATAAAGAACACAGAGCTATGCAGTATCCTAGCAAGCAACATCATATTAATGGGAGATTTACACATAATCACTGGCAGGAAACCAATATAAAGCATGTTATGTTCTCACAATTACAGCTTTCTCCTTGGTGCTTTGGTCAAGGCAGAATGCATATTTACGTAAATTTTACATCGCTGGAAAGCAGTTGAAAACATATCTACTGTAGTGAATGAGCCAAAGTGGCCCACAACCATCTAACAGAGCAAAGGGGTCCTGTGCACTGAGCTGTGCACTTTCTCTTTCATTATTTCTCTTATTCGGACAGCTCTGATTTTTGCAATCAGTGAAATAACAAAGTCCTTTGTAGCAATGGAGGAGGCCTGAACATTCAGCATGCGTTTTTCTTTCTAGAGATCATTTTCTACCCAAGCATGAGTGAATGTTTGCTACTGAGACATGTTAATTGAGGAGGAAGGCTAAGTGCATTATGGGCAGTGAATTACAGATGACAGTGACGGGGGAGCTCCCTCTACTGCAGCCAACAGGATGGTTTTGCTGGTCCCCACCAGCATTCTGTACTTTGGCTAAGAGAAAAATAAACAGTCTTTTAAAGTAAAAACAAACCAATAGTAAATAAATTTGTCTACTTAGAAACAGCTTCATAATCTGCTAGAGTAAGACATGGAGATGTGCTTCGTTTTCAGGTAGTAGAGCTGGCAAAAGAGCAAAGGGATTCATGTGCAGTTGGAGACTTGCAGCTGCTTCTAGGGCATGGGCTGCTGGTGGGGCTGAGACCTGAGGTGCTTCTTCAGAATGGCTCCAGATGCAGTCCCAACGCAGATACAGCCACACTTTTCTTCAGGTTTCTTTTTCTCCAGCTCTCAGTGGTTTCTTGCCTCCTTTTCACAGAATCACAGAATGGCCAGGGTTGGAAGGGACCTCAAGGATCATGAATCTCCAACTTCACATGCAGGGCCACCAACCTCCTCGTTTAATGCTAAACCAGGCTGTCCAGGGCCCCATCCAACCTGGCCTTGAACACCTCCAAGGACGGGGCATCCACAACCTCTCTGGGCAGCCCGTTCCAGCACCTCACCACTCTTTTTTCAAACATTTTTCTTTTTCTCTCCCACACTCTGATGCTTGTCTTCTCCTTTTGTCTTTTTTCTCACATATTTGGCTAATATTCCCTTTTTGATCTTGTTTGTCTGACTTCTTATTATTACCCACTCTGACCACTTATTAACCAATCACTTGTAGAGAAGCAGTTGGATGGTTTTCTTCTTTCCCCTTTTCCCTGACAATAATCTGGAGCATGGTCACAAAATCCTTAATGTGTCGAAAAATGCACTTGAAAAATACACAGCTCTGTGTTTCTGCATACAATGAGGCTCAGTGTGAGTGTCATTGCTGAGTTTGCTTTGTTTTTGTTTGTGAAATTCACAATACAGGATATGTTCTGTGAAATCCCAGTTTCCAAATCCACAGCATTACATGGGAATTCAAGCTTTTACTTGAAAGGAAGGCAGGTTCTTAGCTTTCATATTTCTAGAGAAACATTTGAAAGTTGAACCACTAGGAGCTACAAAAATTACCAGACAAGCTTAAAAGTTCATTACATTACATTTTAAATCTGTGTTATTTTTTGACGCCTGAGGCTGGCAATATAGCACAAGTCTTATCCTGCTGTCAGCTCACAGATTTTACTTAAATTAGATACTAAAGGAGTTCAGTAGTTCTCACCAAAAAACCATGGGGCCATCTGTCTCCATGAGTTTCTTCTAAAATTATGAATTCTTGTGCTGCCCAGCCGTAATTGGCTGAGAGGTGAGTAAGGCACCATATGAGGGAAGAGGGAAAAGACGGCGAACATAAAATTTTCCCAAAGTATTAACAAAGTATAATTGAGATATTTGTCATTTTTCCAATAGAAGAGCATTTCAAAGTAATGAAATACATTTTTCATTAACAGAGAAATAAATGTACTTAAAAAGCATGCCAATCAGATGAGCTGGTTTAACTATGAAGCAGGGCATTCTCTGAGATCCTCTGTTAAGATTTACGGAAGAATGTGGGAGAAAAAGCAGATGCTTCAAGACAAGTGAAAATCATTTAGGTGTACTTCTATTAGCACGAAAGCTGCGCTGTATGACTACTGTGAATATAGGATATTCAAGATACATGGTAATAGACAAGTCAAACAATGACTTCATGTAGCATAACATCTTGTTGGTGTGAGAACCCTTCTTTGTTTTCTGGCTCAGAGCTTGCTTCCTATCTCATGTCGGGTATACATATATCAAATACATCATGACTGTGAAGAAGAGAAGGACCTGGGGTGTTGGTTGATGTTCGGCTGAACGTGAGCCAACAGTGTGCCCAGGTGGCCAAGAGGACCAGCAGCATCCTGGCCTGCATTAGAAATGGTGTGGCCAGCAGGAGCAGGGAGGTGATCATCCCCCTGTACTCAGCACTGGTGAGGCTGCACCTCGAGTACTGTGTTCAGTTCTGGGCCCCTCACTACAAGAAAGACATTGAGGCCTTGGAACGTGTCCAGAGAAGGGCAACAAAACTGGTGAGGGGTCTGGAGCACAAGTCTTATGAGGAGCAGCTGAGGGAGCTGGGATTGTTCAGTCTGGAGAAGAGGAGGCTCAGGGGAGACCTCACTGCACTGTACAACCTCCTGAAGGGAGGCTGTGATGAGGAGGGGTTTGGCCTTTTCTCCCAGGCAACAAACAGGACCCGAGGAAATGGCTGCTAGTTGTACCAGAGGAGGTTTAGGTTAGACGTAAGGAAGAACTTTTTCTGTCAGAGAGTGGTCAGGCACTGGAATGGCTGCTCAGGGAGGCAGTGGAGTCGCCGTCCCTAGCAGCTGCAAGATATGGTTTAGTGCTTGTAGTAGCAATGGTGATGAGAGGATGGTTGGACTAGATGATCTTGAAGGTCATTTCCAACCTTGTGATTCTGTGTGTCAACGGTTTATGGGCTGGTCCGGCCCAGTTCCGTGACCAGCAGGGCGGAGGGATCTGCGGATCAGCGCCTCTGGGAAAGGGGAAGCAGGGGACCCCAAAATACTTGAAAACAACAGCACTGATCTGAGGTGGAACAAATGATTTTACTAAATATAGTATTAGTAAAATACAATGAGAGAGAGAGAGAGAGAGAGAGAGAGAGAGTCTGTTTGAATTGTATAGACCTCACCACAATGCTGGGGTGAGAAGTGCAGTCCAGTTGAGAGACTGAAGTACAGACGGCGAAGTGCAGATGGCGAAGCGCAGGCGGCGAAGAGCAGGCGAAGAAGAAGGATCAGGTGACCTTGCTTGGAGTTATATCCCCTTGCTGACCGCAAAGTCTCCTGGGGAAATGTAGTTCTTCTCCGACGGACGAACATTCGGCAGATATCAAACCCCACCCCCAATGCATTACATGATGTTATGGTGTGGAATACTGATGACCAAAAATCATAAAACCATGACACTGTGATTCTATGAAAGAACACCCTCTCTCTCCTATAAATTGGAGTGAGACAGTTGGTTGTGCCAAAAGAACCCTAGGTGCATTTCTTTTGAATTCTCCATAGAGAAACAGAAGAAATGCTGCAGTGATAATAAAAATGAAGCTTCAGCTAATGGGTGTGCTGAGCACAAACCAGCGGGGCTGTGTCGGGTCCCACAGCAATCATCATTGCAGTACTACACAGTTCCATGGTAAAACAATTGGCATAGGTTCATGACTGAACTGCTGGCAGCTAAGGGAAGGGTGGAGAAGGACATCTTTAGACAGTAGCTTTTTTTAGGTATCAATATATCTTATGGTTTTTTTTAAACTGAAATGGAAACTCTCTCGAGAAAGGAAATAATTTATAGAGCCTGATCTATAGAAGGAATCAGTGTATTTGGCACCATCTTTAATTTGTGAAGATGTGCCATCGTCCTTACATGGAATGTATTTAGTTCCAAATCCCTCGGATCTCCAAGGTGCAGGTGCCAGCTGCACAAATGCACTTAAGCATTCCGTACTGCAGGCAAATTGCCCAGGGGGTCTCTATCTCTCCTTGCCCAACCGGTTCTTCAGCTTGCTGAACTGCTGCACTGTATCATAAATAGCAAGTCATCGAGATATATCCAATGTATTTTTAATTTTCCTTAACAACTACTATGGAAGATTACTAAACTGATTGCAGGTTATAATCTAACATCAGCAAACAAACCACATAGCAAATCAATTATATTAGCTGATTTCAACGGTAACTATTCGGAACCCATTAGGACGTTTGTATCAGTCATTATTTGACAGTTTGATTATATTTCACATTAACTTTAAAGCAGTATCAAGAAATAATGAACTGGACAGCAAATGCAATTGTATCTGTCTGCAGGCTTTGCTGCTGGCTTCTTTCAGTTGTGGAGAGTGGGAGGGGCACAAGGACAGATTGATAACCACCTACTGAGCAAGGCCTTACAGCATAACACTGCCCTTACATTAGTTTTGAACAGCAGCTGGGTAGATCATATAACACTTTGCATGGCTTTCTTCTTAAAGAGGAAAAGGAAAATGGCAGAAAATGGAGCTTTTAATGAGGACTGCATGTACCTGCAGGGAAAAAGAAGGTCCATAGGAAAGAATGGGGAAAGCTTGTGTCTGCAGCATTTGAAGAGGGGTATGGCACATATGGCCAAAAAACAAGAGAGAGGCCTTGAGCTTGTGAAGGATGGCAAAAATGATACAGAGAGGTACAAAGGATGCGATATGGTACAGAAAAGAGAACAGCATGGCACAGTCAGCCTGGGGATGAGCAAGGTGAGAGTCCTGCTAAATCCATCAAGGGAGCTCAATTCCTGTGTTTCCACAGCTTTACATTCAACCACACACACCCAGGAGTGAATGCCTGCTCTACCTTGCACCAAGCATGAGTTTTTCATTTCCTCATAAAGCTGGAGGAAAAAAATATATATATTCATTCAGAAAAGTTCATGGTTAACTACATCTCACTATGAGAAACAGTTATCAGATGAGGTCTGAGTGGGAACAGATCCAGCATGGACAGGGCTCAGAGGCCGCAGTGCTCGTCCAGTGTGCAACACAAAGCATGCGTCACTTCAGAACAGTCCTCAGCCCACGTCACCTCATCCTTGTCCCGATCTGCACCTCCTGACATTCAACAAAGAAACAACTTTTGGAGGGCATTCTCCAGATATACTGCCAATGTTATTTGGCAGGAGATTAGCTCCCCATAAGGAACAAAGTTATGGATGTAAGAAGGAAATAAAGAAATCTTTCTCCCCTTACTCCATTTTCCCCTTCCCCCCCTGCATTTTAATTAGAGGAATCAATTTTCCTTTGGCTCACCAAGTAGCACCTGGCAGGGATGCAGAATTGAAGCATTTAATTCTCCAGGCAGTGACTGCACTTACCAGGCTGCTTTCCCGTAGCCTCTCTCACCCATCATCAGTGCCAACAAATGACTTCTCTGAAGTAAGAGCATGTCAAGCAAAATGCACAGGCTTTCTTTAGTAACACCCGCTTGCTAGTTCAGCGCTGGGAAAGAAAATGGAACTTGCTTAAACATATCCATCTAGCTTAAATTTATATGCCTTGCCTCAACAGCTCTGGACGTTGCTTCATTGACAGATCACTGTCATGATCTGGCTTTGCAAATTTTTGAATCAAAACCATTTTCCACCAGAGACCGTTTGATTTAAATAGCGATCGATTCAGGGAAATCCAGTGCCCTGTGCTACACAGGTTAGGCTGCTAGACTGCAGAGCCTTGGTTTTGTTTTAAGTTTATCACTTTTTTTTTTTTTTTGTAACTTGAAGTTATTAAACTATATAATCAAAACCCTTCTGCGTTCGTACTATTAATAGAAGCACAATAAAACAGAAGGCAGGAAGCAGGATAAGTGTGGGTGGCCACTCGTAAAAAGCAGAAGCATCTTGAATTTGAGGAAATAAGCAGATGACTGCTGGAGCTACAGGGAAGAATGAGTTCAATCATCTCCAGACATGGTCTTCTTTCTATTTTTTGGGGGGAAGGGGGAGGGGTGACATTCTACTACCACACAGGGATCTATAGTGTATCACACAAGAAAAAGATCTGCAGATGCAGTCTGCAGTTTGTCCACATTTTTTGGTTGGTTTTCATGAGTTACATTTAAACATTTCTTATGTCTTTTGAATGTTCTGGTATCTGTACTGCACGTCATTCCAGCAGCTCTGCTCTTACTGCAGACCTGCACCTAAAGGAAGGTATAATGGAAACATAACACCCTAAAATGTCATTTTTTCAGAAATTTTAGTTTCACCTGTTTTTACTGCTGCTTTGTCATTAAAGGAAAACAGTGCAAAGGTTTAAGTCACTGTGTAATCAGACATCCCAAATAAACATACATACATTGCTGCCAGGTTCTTCTAAAACTGGTACACGGAAGATGCAAAAAGCATGGAGAGAGAAAAAAAATCTCTTCTGTTACTAAAATAAAGGTGGTTTCTCAACCCAACCACAGATCAATAGGCTACTGAATAAGCAGCAATATTTTCATACTCTTGCGTATCCTTTTGAGAATGCTGGATGATAATGAGGAAACTGAGAAGTAGTGAACTGCATGGAGGAATAATACCCTTTAAGTATTTTTATCTTTATTAATACCCTTTAAGCCTTTAGAGCCCTCTACTACATTAATTTTTCTCAGCTAAATTAGCATGTTAGGGTATCTGATCCTTCCCATCCTCCCAGATCAATTGTATTCTGATGTCAGAGAGACATCAGTACTCAAATACTTTGTCATGGTTGCACTTTTCTTAAACCTTAACCTTTCTGTGTTTCCTGATTTACAGCTCATGTAATATACAGACTCATGCTTGAATTCTCCTTTGGGAGTCAATTTTTCAGTAATGTCAGCATTGTCTTCAGTCATGTCTACATTAGCATGATTAAGCTACTTCTGTAAATGTTCCACCTTGCAACCTAACAGCTCATTATCATGAGATTGGCCTGGTACCCTTTATCAACAAGGTAAGGCCCATAAAGCATTTAGCACCATGTTAAGGTTACTTCTGATCTTCTCATCAGTATAAAGGGAGTTCAAGTCAACCCCAGAGGAAGGGCACACATTAATCAAACGATGCACTGGGTTCTTTTTCTACCTCCCATTAAGCTATTTGCATGCCAGTCATTTCATTTGCTGTTTGCCACAGGACCTGATCTACTCCCTTGTTTTTTTTTTTAGAGTTATTGCTGGGGTTATCCAGCAATTGCTGGGTCACCCTGCTCTGCCCACTGCGTTCAGATGCTCTAAGTCTGCACCCTTGTTGGTGAGGACCTGCTCTGTGCTGTCTGCACCCTTGCTCTTTTCCCTAAGCTTGACTTGCTCTTGGCGACTCAGAACAGTGTGATACCTCAACTGAGAAGTCACTTTTCCTTTCTAACATGTTCTTCAGCATATTAATGCTTATTAAGAGGCTGCAAACACTAAATAAACAAACAGCCATCGATCTCAATTTTATTTTGCTTTTCTGTTGTGACCCTTACTGTAGGTTCCCTTTGTGATCTACGTTGTTTCACTTTCCCAGAAAGACCTCAAAATCACCTGGTTAGCATCTTGCTTATTGCAGCAGCCAACAAAGGAGAAATCATGCAACTCTAGGGGGAATCCTAGCATAGCAAGCTAGCTCATGGATCCTGCTCCACCATTAACATGAACAACAGCCCACCATCCTTTTCTGCATCAGATGTAAAGAACATGCTATATAATCTCTTAAAACAAGAAGTACTCAAAGTTGCTTCAGTTTCAAAACTTTTGAGATACTGTCTCAAAAAAAGTCAAATCCTTGCCTTTTCCATTTAGAATGGAAATTGTTCAGAAGCACTTAGAGATAAAAAGCACTTAGAGATAAGAAGTTAGTGTGGGAGTATTTGCACAAGTATTGTGGGGGGAGAGGTAAGAAAATAATTAAAATAATTAGAGCACTTTTTGGTATTCAGGCGAGCTTGGTGCGAAGTTTGTGCTACCTTAACAATTTTCCATGTTTTCCTCTGGAAAAGAGGAATGATCAAAAACGGAGAAGGGAACACAGAGAGGCATTTATAGTAAGTTTTCAGTAATGCCACTTACCTTTCAAAGCTTCCTATCAAAAAACTTTGAAGATTCATTACTAATTATCCTAGATCCTATTCATGACTGATGCAACAAATAAATACATACAAATTAGATATTATAGAAGTAGATATTTTACTAGAAGGAAACTGAAAACAATATCATAAAGGCTTCCTCTGTATGTGCTTGTTTGAATGGCTCTACAGGTATGTATGTGGATGAGAAAAAGGTACCAGAAAACAGCAGGCTGAAGAGTGTGTTTTAAGTGGTAGCATGTGAAAGTCTCCCATGTGCTCCTAAGCTGCAGAGATGAGCAGTTCTGCTGAATCCACAAAATCTGAGAACTCCGAACACCGAGTCTCCTGAATCTGTCCCAGTCCACTAACATCAGCTATGGGTCGTATAACCCAGGCTACATCCAAGAAACGTGCTAATTGCAAGACTACAAGATTATATCAAATTGATACATTTGCATATGATGAAACAAAAGGCCTTGAGAGAGTTCCTGAAATTTACATCAAATCCATGGATGCTTCTGGTTTTAAGTCAACAGCTGGAATTAAGTGTCCCAGCTGGGTGACTGTGAAATGTTCATGAACTTTGTGAGGGAACGCAGTGGGTGATTTAGCTCTTTGCTATTAATAATAAGAGCTAAACACAAGATTTTCCAATAAATAGAATTTCAGTGTGTGGGTGACAGACCACTCGCACAGGTTGCCCAGACAGACTGTGGACATGGTCCTGGGCAACTTTCTCTTCCTAGTCCTCTTGAGCAGGGGAATTCCAGAGGTCCCTTCCAACCTCATCCCCTCTCTGATTGTGTATTTCCAACTGAGGTCTCAAGATCTCCACAGTTACACCAAATCTACATGCCAGCAGAAAGTCTAGGACTGACTCACGACCTCCCGTCAGCCTGGAGATACCCAGGAGCTACCAAAACGAATCTCAACAAGTCTTCCATGAGGCTCAGGAGACCGAAGAGAGCGAATTCCTTCGGAAGAAACACGCTTTTAAAACATTTTGTTGGGCTTTGTGAGACCTCTGCTGGCCAGATGCCTTCCTTGCGGTTCTGACGGTTTTGCTACAGCTGTGCTTTGCAGTTAGGAGAGGCTTTTTTTCCAGAGAGCCACTGGAAGAGGCTGCCCAGGGAGGTTGTGGAGTCTCCTTCTCTGGAGATGGTTCAAGACCTGCCTGGATGCCTACCTGTGCAACCTGGTGTAGGGAACCTGCTTTGGCAGGGGGGCTGGACTCGATGATCTCTGGAGGTCCCTTCCAACCCCTACAATTCTGTGATTCTGTGATTCTGTTTTGGTTCACAACCCCAATAGATAATTTTAGAGAAGGAAAAATCTAATCCAAAAGACTTTTAGCGACACGTGTTTTGTTTTGCTTTTTTCTCCTGAATTTATGCTGCTAAAAAGAAGTTATTATCTTGTTCTGTACTGTTACAGACTAAGCACACCATTGTAACACACAACATTGACTGCATTCTAATGCACACAAATTTGCTTTTAAAGGAAGAAGAAGAGCTCCTGTTACCTCAGCAGCCATTTCTTTGCTCCTGCATGGAAACCCACTGGGAAGGGCTGGCAGCTGTACAAACTTCTGCTCCGGGCACATTTCTGAAACCTCCGCACTGCACTGCGGCTCTTCTCACAGCACAGCCTGCGAGAAAGTGCTCCAAGGCAGGTGCACGGCTTCCCCTTCCACAAGGGAATCTTTTTTTTTTTTTTTTTTTTTTTAAGGTTACGGCCTCACATTGTGCCTGGGGAGAGTCCGGTTGGACAGTAGGAAAACTTTTTCCACACGGAGGGCTGCAAAGCGTTGGCACGGGCTGCCCACGGAGGCGGTGGGGTCACTGTCCCTGGAGGTGTGTTAACAGACGAGTACATCTGGTGCACAGAGACAAGACTTAGCCACGAGCTCCCGAATTCGGGAACGGCGAACGGCAGCGCAGGTCACGACCCGAGGGGGCGGCGCGGTGCCAAGATGGCGGCTCCCACCTGACGCGGTTGGTGCGGAGCGCGGGTGGGCGGGGCGCGCGGTGGGCGGGAGTGGCGCGCTGTCTTGGCGCGCGCCGGTGGCGGGCCGTGTTTCCCGCCGTGGCCATGTCTCGCCAGAGCACCCTGCTTCGATTCTTCCCCAAGGCCCAGCAGCCGCGGGCCGCCGCCACCCCTCCGCCCGCCGGCGGGGAGAGCCGATGCCGTTCTTCCAGGGAGCGGAACGGTCTCGAGGCCGCCGCCGGGCCCGCGGAGCGTAGCAAGGAGAATGGCAAAGCGGATGGGGCGGCCGCCAAAGGCCGCGGGTAAGAGAGGGGGCTGCGGGGCCTGGCCCGCCTCGGGCCGGGGAGCGGAGCGATCATCTGCGTGCGGCGCGGCCTCTGGTGTGCTGGGGCTCGGCGAGGGGGCTGGGCGAGCCCTGGCCGCTCTGCCATGGGCGGGCTTCCCGGCGGCCGGGCTTTCTGTGCGCGAGGCTGTGGGCAGCTCAGCTCGTTTCCTTCGTGCGCCCTGCCCTGTTCTCCTGCGGGAAGCGAGCGGCTGTGTAATCTGGCCGTCTCCAGTGCATAGCCCGGGGCCGTCTCCGGTGTATGGCCCGGGATCTTCTTTTAACTAATGGCTGGTTGAGCGCTCCTTCGCCCTTAGGAAATATAGGAGGCGTCGGGTGGGTAGGGAAGGAATGCAAAGCGGAGCCTGGGGGAGCGAAGCACAAAAACGAGGCTGAGAGGGATGTGGGCGCCGTTAGAAGGATCTGAAGGGCTGAACTAGGTCACGCCTCCCAGCAGCTTCCCTGGCCCTTCCGCAGGCACGCTGCTTGCTGCACTGCATGCCTTCCTCTGTGAGGACGGTGCTCCTTAACCCCTTCGTCTCTTGTCTGTGCAGTGTCTCCAATGTTTATTCTCCCGGGGACTTGGTCTGGGCCAAGATGGAAGGCTATCCCTGGTGGCCGTGCCTCATCTACAACCACCCCACGGAGGGAACCATCGTCAGAGGGAAAGGGAGCACTTCTCGGATCCACGTGCAGTTCTTTGATGTCAATCCCACGAGGGGCTGGGTCAGCATCAAGTACCTCAGGCCGTACAAAGGTAGGAGATGTCAGTAAGTTGCTTTGAAGAAGAGATGCCACTCCTTTTGGTTCAGAATCTAGGCTATGGTGTTCTCCATAGGAAATGAGTAACAAAACTAAGAGCAGTGTTGAGAGTGAAAGCATGTTTTGTACTGCCTAATGTTAGGGAAAGTAAGTTTTTGTGGGTTTGGGGTGTTTGGGGTGTCTGTGGTTATAAAGCCCTGAGCCCTCTTGTTTGCTAGGTTACAGTGAAAGCTGCAAGCTTGCTTATGTTTTGAAGTTTTTCTTCTATTCTCCACATGTATATAAAGAAAATCAAAGACAAATCCCTGAAACCCTGAAAAATGTTAGGACTGTCAAACCTTGTTTGTAAGCAAGTATTTGAGAGTTGACATTTGCCCTGAATAGGAAGCTTAGGCACAAGAGCTCCGTCTTAAGGTTATTTCACTTAAGCCATAATTAGTTTTAAAATGGTAATGTTATCCCAGCGTTAGTACACTCCAGCGTAGGTGAATGGGTTCACATGCATCTTTCTTGAAGGCATTCTAAAAGAATCAGGTATATTTTTAAAACAACTTGCAGTATTTATAGAAGCAGATGTGAATTAGAAGAATTGCACTACTTACCAAAATAATTGCAGTAAAATAAGAATAGTGCAAAATGTTTAAGCACAGGAGTACTAGTCTGTCTCCAAGAAAGGTGGCTAATTCAGAACAGAGTATGAATATTTAAAATGCTTGCTTTGCTGTTAAATTAAGATGAAAAGCACTTAAAAAAAAAAAAATTGGAATCATTGGTTTAGAGAAAAAGTATTGCTTACAACTGAGTAAATATAAACACCACAAAGCCAGGCTTTGTAACAGTTGGGCAAGCGAGAAATTGAGTGATTTATGTATAAGTAGACTAAGTGAAAATGAAGATGTTGCACATGAGTATGCAGTTAAATTGCATGATGGGATTTGCTCCTGCAACTGTTGTCATCATTAAATGCATTAAAAGTATTTTTAGGTTGTCTTGCTGCATTTGCAAACTAAAATGAAGATCTAGTTTGTTGATATGTTGCATGTGCGTGGTAGAAATAGCTCCTTGAAACTTCATACTTGGGTACTGAGAGCCCACAAGTGAGCTACCTTTGGCCTGCGGTTAATTTGGAGCTGAAGCTTCAGCTAATAGCAGCCTCCCAAGTGACTTGCAAGAACAGGTGTAAAGATGTGTTGAAGCAGAACCTGTTGCTTCATGCAGACAGCTAAAAAAGCAGAAAAAGGAATCATCCTTCCCCGTCTGTGGCATACTCTTCTCTTTCCCCAGGCTGAGTATATGGTATGTTGTGTATTCACCATTTATTCCTTCAGCGTAGCATTAGGATGAATCCCAACTTCTCTGGGGATCCTTTCTAGAAACCAGTCTGTAGGTTGGCTGCCTTTGCTTTTTGTCTTTGTTTTCAGGTAGTTGCCTTCTGCAAGAAAAGAGGAACTGCACTGCTAAAGGGATGTGGGGGGGGGGGGAAATACTTTGTATATAAAATGTACATATTGTATGTAATATATTTAATAATCTAATGATATCTAATAGCTTGGATGCATTTAAAAGCGAAAGATGGATGCTAACTGGCTAAATTCTGGACCAGCTCAGTTTCTGACGGATGGCTGTTTTGCAGGCTCATCAGACAGAGAGGTGCTGAAGGGAGGTATGTTTTATAGTACGAAGCCTGAAATTAAAAAAGCAATGGAGCTGGCAGATGATGCCATGAGTAAAGATAAGCCTAAGCGACTTGAGCTGGCAGTGTGCAGCGAACCTTCAGATGCTGAGGAGGCAGAGGAGGAGGAAATGGAGGTAAAATATTTCTTGCTGTCATTTTCAGAAACAATGGTAGAACTTAGAAGCTGTCTCTTGGAGCTAAGCACGGAGTATCTGCAACCTTGTGGTACAGTAACCACTGCTTGTCTGCTCCTTGATAGCACATACAACAAATGCCTATGCCATTTTGTATTGCCTCTGTGCTGTTAGATCACATGCTGTTCTTCTACCTTTTCTACTAAGAAAAATAAGTCTAATGTCTCTTCAGTGTTCCCTGACCTCAATAAATTTCTTAAATTCTCTAATATATTTATAACCTCTTCTCAGTGGCCATTCCCTGGGTACCCCCGCTTACCTGCTGTCTGACAAAGTACTCTTTTATCCTCTGTTCATATTCTAAACTGTCCTAAATTCAGTTGAAATTCTCATTTCTCACATAAAAATTGTTAACTTTTTGAGCGCTTGGTTTAAGACACTAAGTTGGGTTTTGAAGCCTGATCTTGTGGAGTTGCACCAAAATACAAATTCTTATACTGTTAATGCTAGTCTGCTGGGATAACTAAAATGAGATCTTGTAGTGTGTTGCATTCATAATGTATTATCATTCAGATACAATTTCAATACTGCCACGTGCATTGGAATAAATTTCTGTGGTATGAGGAAACTGCTGATGGGAGTAGTGTTCCTTACATCTTGTGTCAGTGTGACCTGTCTGCTCTTTCTCCAGCATGACATTTCTCCAGCAGCAGGTGACAACACTGTGGGGCAAACTACCACTCTGTACTTAGTACAGTCTTTCCATTGCTGCATTCTTCTAGCGCAGGCACTGGTATTGTTAAAGCTTTAGGCTGAAAAGACAAATAATGGAGTTCCCTTTCTTTTTACTAAACATGCATGAACTAAACAGCATGGTTAGCTGATGGAGGTGTTTCTTCTTTATGCTGGGTGTCACGTACTCTACACCTTTTGTGTTTGAAGCTTCTATTTTTTTAACATGGATTGCTTATGCATATTCAAATGAAGCAGTAAGGACTACAGAGAGAGGAGCAATTACAGCACGGGCAGATAGTTTACTTCCCAGTCAAGAATATCCTGTGAAGTGACACTGCTGTGTGGCTGTGACTGTCCTGTCTTTTGCTTGAAGTATCATAGCTACTGCATTTGTGTGCTTCTCTTTGCAGCAGTGATATTTTCACTTTGTGGCCAGAACTTTTAATAGGTTAAATGATTTCTCTTTCAGCAGATGAGTGGAAGTGCATCAGGCGACAGTGATGACAGCAATAGTGAGGAGGATGTGAAGGGCAATAAGCGAGTACCAAACAGAGGTAGTGCCATAAAAGCCAAAAGAAGAAGAATGCTGGATTCGGACAGCGATCGTGATGGTTCTGATGTAGAGTTCAAGCCTGATGTGAAAGAAGCAGCAAGCAGCGAGGAAGCTAGTAGTGGGGTGGATGAAAATGAAGCTACTGATGCAGAGACAGATGCAGAGAGCATTGAAGAAAGTCCTATAAAAGTCCCTTCTAAACGGAAGAGAGGAAACGTTAGCAAGCCTTCTAAAAGGAGTAGCTTAGAAAATGAACATTCTGAAGCACCCAAAAGAGCAGCACCAGTTTCGTTAGAAGCTAAGTCTAAGCTGACATTGTTTGCAGCACCTGACAATTTTGAGTCTCAGGCAAATGCCTGCAGTGGAGGCACTACTGGCTTTGCAGCATGGGAACATGAGAAGCTTGAGTGGCTGCAGGAAGGGAAAAAGAAAGATGCACACAGGAGACGACAGAATGACCCTGACTATGACCCATGCACTTTGTACGTACCTGAGGACTACCTTAACAAATGTACGCCTGGAATGCGGAGGTGGTGGCAGCTGAAAAGTCAAAACTTTGATGCGGTGATTTGCTACAAAGTTGGAAAATTCTATGAGTTGTATCACATGGATGCAGTCATCGGTGTGAATGAGCTGGGCCTGGTATTTATGAAAGGTTCATGGGCTCATTCCGGTTTTCCAGAAACTGCATTTGGCAGGTTCTCTGCTATTCTGGTTCAGAAGGGCTACAAGGTAGCCCGTGTTGAGC